GGTTTATAGGGTTTAGGGGACCCTAACCCAAGAAGCCCTAAACCCATACTGCGGCACAATCCTGCAGGCTCGCAGAAGTACACCTGTGAGTTCTCCACTGCCGTGACGCAGGGAGACACTTGGGGTTCAGTTACTATACGCGCCTTCATAAACAGAACGGGCCCTTGGTGTAGGGATTTGGGTAGTTCCCTAATTTAGGCTCCCTTAGGGTTTAGGGCTTAGGTTTAAGAATTCTACAATCAATAATTACCTCTGGTATCCATTCAGGCTCCGATATTAGGTGGGGGCTCCAAAGCCAAGAAGCAGAGACTGGGCTGCTGCGAAGCAAGCCTCGGGAAGGAACGAATGACTTCAGGGTTCAGGGTGTAAGGGTTTGGGGGTTTAGGGTTATAGCGTGCGCGGCTTAAGGCTCTTGTGGTCTTGGGTTGTTCATGTATACAGCAAACAACAGGCTTTGAAGTTAGGGTTTGACGGTTTGAGGTTTATGAACTTGTAAAGTAAAGATCAGGCCCCAGAGTTCCTACATCGAGTCTCAGCTTTGATATCAAGCTGGGGTCGCGTTCAACTTCGGACTTAGGCAGGGCACGGTTCTCCACTGTTTGTTTGGTTTGACAGCTTTGCAAAAGCAAGACACCGACCAACCAGCAGCCAGACCACTCTGTCAGGAACCCCTAGAACACCCTGAACAATCAAATAGCGAAAAGAACCACTCTAAAACCCCGTTTTTGGACCCAGACTCTGCCAATCAGCTGGGAAGCAGCACTTCCAGACTATTGCATCCGGGAAGTAGCGCCACCAAACGCAACCCTAAACCCTACACCCCTAAAGCCCTAAACCCTAAACCCCTCTACAGCCCCTACACGTCCCATCAAGAATCTGCAAGTCATAAAGCCTAAACCCCACACCCCATGACCCGGAAGCGCCATATTAAGCCCCAAGACCCGGATAATCTAGGGGCCGGAACAAGGGGTGCCGATATATCCCCGCATACTCGCCATGTACATACATATCCGAAGCTCTAGTCTATCTACTCAGGCCCCTATATGATAGAAGCCCTATAACAACCCCTATAAACTCTCTTCTCAAACTTTATACAAGCCCAGCATGCCGAAGCCCTAACCTCCTAAACCCTTACGGAATCCTCTTTCCAACCCATGACTACGGATTCCTTCTAGAACCCGAATCGAGTCCCCTAGCAAAACCCCTAGATTCCGGAAAAAACACCCTGCCCCAAGTAGAGCGGAAGACCCGTGGCTCTGAGACTCTACATAGAATCCCACGAGGAACCTTAACTTAAGTTTAGGGTTTAGGAGGGTTTAGGTTTAGGGTTTAGGGATTTAGTTAGGGTTGAGGGAGCCCAGAAGCCCTTTCCCTAAACGGAACCTCACTAGAAAACCGATAGAAGCTTGCCTCGACTCGCTTTTGAACCCTGCAAGGAACCCCACAAGAACTCCCTTCGGCTGGCCCCAAAACGCTTACAATGCCCTCCCAAAGCCCTTGTAGATTACCTTTTTAGAAACCTACAAGGGACAATGTTGCCTGCCTCCTGGTGCAGCTGGTCCTGGCGCTCTTCTTCTAGCTCCGGCTCCGTGGGAGCGCTGGGCACCATCTGGGCCAGTAGGGTTTAGGGTGTAGGGTGTAGCGTTTAAAGTTTTTCCTTCTCGCAGGGTTGAGGGTATATCCGTGGGCTGAGCGGGTTTATAAGTCTTGCAGGGTTATAGGGTTTACAGGGGTTTATGGGCCTCACGAGCGCGCAGGGTTCGAAGAAGTTTTTTATTTTCAAGAGGTGTATGGCGTTGATTGTTACGTTTGCCTCCCGCCTGCGAGGACGGACCTGCTGTGCAGCAGTCAGTGGAAAGACTCGGGCACTGAACCACACACATCGCTTGATGCGATGTCATGTCGTTGTCGTGGCTGGAAGAATCTAGAGTCGACCCTCCTTGTTTGGGGTTTGGGGCTGGCGGCCAAAGGCAGTAACGGTAAACCACTCAACCCAACTGGGTTGAAGCCTTGTGAATCCGAAGCCCAAACGGCCCTAAATCCTAGATCTTTTCTTTTGCAAGGCCTGCTGCCCTAGACCCTACACCCTGTAAGCCCTGAAGCTTGAAGCCTAAACCTGAATCTCAAGAGCAGGTTCTTCGGAGCGGCTATGACTCGTAAGGGCATAGAGGGTAGTGTAAGGCTTGGATCCCTGCTGGGGTCAGCAGTGGCCCAACCATCGCCGTCTTAGATACACTGTCTTAGCGTCTCCCAAACCCCTGCTGTGAGGCAGGCTTGGAGAGTTGTGCCTGCGAACCTGTGAGACCCGAACCCATACTCGATGGACAGAGACATCAGTTTTGTAGTTGGCTCTTCTCTGCACCCGAAAGCAGCCACTCGGGCGAGTTCGGAAGAGAGACTTCTGGAAGGCTTTGGGGGCCCCGAATGAGCAACAGCAATAACCACTGTCAAGATCAGCTACATCAGCACCACCCAACCCCGCAGGGCCCTGAGGCATTAGCCTTAAAGCCTTGGATCGCACGTCCCGGCCCTCCCCGAGCAATCCATGGATCACCCCAGCGGCTGATCCAAAAAGCATATCCCGTTCGGGCCTCAAGGGTGTTCCTATACAGAACCCTTTAGGGTTAAAGGCAAATTTAGGGTTTAGAGCTCTACTTCTGAATAGAATAAAAAATACACGGTAAATACACTAATACACTATTTAGGTTCGCAAAATTGGGACTTCTACTTGCTGGATCCTTCAAGCGGTCTGCCCCTAAACACCGCCAAATCCTAATCCCGGATTGGAAGGTAAGCCCAGGTGCCGGAGGTACGTAGGTTCCGTTGGACGGATGCCTTGATGTTGAGTCTTGTTAATGGCTGTAAAATACGGGCCTTCGTGATTGGCAGGGGATTTTGCTGTATCATGCCAGAAATATGATCAATACCATAGCGGGATATCACTGGTAATTGTCCCGAGCCGTAAAGTGCGAGGTTGAAGTCAAGCTCTTATTAGAGCCTTCCATGAGTTCGAGATCCTGTAAACTCAGAGATTCCCCCTCAGTCCCTGGCGAGTCTAGCGGTCTGTATATCTGGCAGTGGCATTTGCATCCCCTCTTTTTTCCCCCATAGGCAAGGACTCCGTAGACCCAAAACCGAGGGCCGGCCCCTATCGTGGGAAAATATCACAAACCCAGTGTTTTTAAGTCATAAGGGCCACGAACGCACCCTAAACCGTGTGGCGTCAGCCCCTCTTGGTGCATTGACTTTGATACCCCAAACCCCAAAACCCCGAAGCGGAAAACCCCAAACCGTTAACCCTAAAGTTTTCTACAGCCCGAACGCCTAAACCCACAACCTGCAAAGCCCGAAAAAAGCAACAAAAAAACCACCAACAAACGAAGCCCAAGATGCTCATCCTCGTCGGCTTCTACAACCTCCTCCTCGTAGACCTCCTGGCTTCGGTTCGCGGTTGTATGAGCACCTTTCCCAGACTTTTGGGGGGGATCTAAAACGTAGACACCCCGAATTTGGGACCCTAACTACTACACACTACTTAACGTCTTTCGAGGTTTGGAGCTTAGGGTTGAGGGTTTCGGGCTACGGTTTGATCTAAACGGGCCTAAATGTACTTAAGGGTTATATACTATAAGGGTACCATAGCGGACTAGCAAACAGGGGCCTTGATTCTTCGACTGGGGGCCTTGGGGGTATGCTACACTATACGTAACTATATGAAGGAACTCTCGGGAAGATTGTTCTGACTGTTGCGGTCAGGCCCTGAAGACGTGACTATGTCTGTAAATACATACATAATTGACATGTATGTATGTGTGTGTGTTTGTATGTATGTATGTATGTATGTATGTATGTATGTATGTATGTATGTATGTATGTATGTATGTAAGCACATATATATATACACATATATATGTATATACTGATGTAAATATGACTGATTGGTTACGCTATGAAGTTCACGGTGCACTACCTGCATGACACAGGAGCAGACTTTGTAAGTAGGGCTCGAAGCAAAAGAAATAAATGGGTTAAGGGCTTGCCATGGGGATTAAGGTTTAAGGTCGCCCAACACGAAACCAAGGCAAAACCATCAAAAGACTAGAGCTCGGCCGCGCTATGCATCCCTGCAGCATCAGCATGCTTCGCATACAAGTTGTCAATAACTATACTACGCAATACACCCCCCATCCCCAAACATCCCCAAATCCTGTTCGAATTGATAAAATCTGTATGCGCAACCCGTATAGCAAGCCAAACGGCAGCCAGGAAACAAGAACTGAACAAATAGGGTTTAGGGCTTATCGCTGTAGGCACTAATCACTGACTCCACAATCAATATCTACTCGGGAGCAACGCATGGTGGGTTCCAACAAGCCAGCTATGACAGCAGCTATGATCTGAATCAAACGGCGATCAAGCATCGGGAAAAAGAGGGTCTTAGTAAACAAAGCGGAGAGGCAAGACTCAAACAGCCCTCATGGAGACATGTCTTGTGCTTTGTGAGGTCAGGTTAGGCTCGACTTTGCTCGCTGCATCAGCCCCGGTGGTGTCGGCTTGTTTGGCTCGCTCGGCAACCCAGGCGTCGTACATGATCTCGTGGCTTGGCCCGAAGACTGAGTCCACCACGTAGTCCTCCAACTCGAAATACTAAAACCTTCTGTCTAGAACCCTTAGAATTACTAACCCATATATCCCTATAGCAACCCTGTCCTGCACTGCGGCATAGCCCAAGAACACAAGATCGTAGGATGTATTGCCTGGCGACGCGAAATCTTCCAGACTCGCCAAGACGCTCTGAAACTCCGGGTAGTGACAGAGTCCTGAGTGATTTTAATAGGGTTCCCCTTGAAGGGGAAGTAGAAGAGCATTAATTAGAGGGGATGGACATAATATAGAGACCTTCATAAATAGGATAGGGTTCTGGGATCTGCTATAGTAGAAATGATGATATCACATTAAAGTACTCCGACCATCTCCGACCCCTATGTGTCATATCATAACACGTTATCTTTGACTGAGACTCGGCTGCGGAGTTCCATCAAAGCGTCGCCAAACGACTGCTGACACGATGGGGTGCCCTTGCCCTTGCCCATGCCTTTGCCGAAGGTCCAGGGGCGATCTGGATCCCCACACACTTGGTGGACCTCGCGGACACACTCGTACCACTTTGCTAAGTGCTCCGCCGCTTCGTCACAGGCCTTGAGCAAGTCCCGCGGTGCTGGCCGGAGAGGGGAGGCGAAGGGCATCGCAGGCCAGGCCTGGAGTCCCTGCACGTCTTCGGGATTAAAGGACTCCTTCTCCCCCATCTCGGCCCTCCAGGCCTGCAGGAAGCTAGCAGATGTCCAGCCGCCGGGAATCTGACGGCCGGCAATCCGCCTTGCTCCGATGATGGGCTTCGGCTTCGCCGCCTCGGCTTCCTCCGTTCTCCCCCAGTGCGAAGACGCCCGCCGCGCCATGGCTTCCACAAATCCGGGCTCCAAACGTCGGAGTTCCTCCCAGGACTTTGCTCGCAAACTGGCCGAAGTCTCCATGCTTCGGAACTGGATCGGTTTGAAGGAATTGTGCACAAAGACAGTGGTGGCCAGTAGCTCGCCGTTTTGCAGTAAGAGCACGGCAGCCAGCCAGCAGAGGCCATCTCTTATCAAGAAGGCTGAGGCCTGCAGAGCGAGGACAGCGGTCACGTCGGAGTGTGGAATCCCTATGAGGGATTCCCATGGAAACCACAGGGGATTCGACAGCATCTCGGCCGTGAACTTCCGGTGCTTCAAGACCTCTGGAGCTTCGCCTTCTTCGGATCGATAAGCCTCTTTGCTCGCAGCCTCCATAGCATCCCACTGCTGCCAAGT